TGCAGACGGCGCTGGAGATGCACCCGAGAGATGGGCTGCGGAGGCAGCACTCCCGGCAGTCCAGGTAGGAAAGGGCTGCTGCTGGGAAACGGGAGGAGGGAGGAGGGGCAGCTGCGGCTGTAGGTCGAGCTGCTGCTGGAGATGCTGGAGCTGCTGCTGGAGTTGAGAAAGGAGAAGCTGCTGCCCATACTGCTGTAACCCCTGCTTCTAACTCCCAAGCTGCTGCTGCTGCTGTTGCTGCTGGGGAGGGGCAAGGGCCTGGTGGGCCTGGGTGGAGGAGGAAGGCTCATAGAGGGGAGAGGAACGGACTTCAAGGGGAGTGGGGCGTGGGTTGAGGGCAGACCAGCGAGGAGGGGTGCCAGTGTTGCCACAGGCAAACCACTCATCACTGAGTGCCTTGAAGCATGTTTCTGTGGCCGCAGCGTTGTCCCTGAGTGGGACCGTAGCGAGGCAGGCACTGACAGGGAGGAAAGGCAGCTGCCGCACCGCGACCCGCACCACCGCTACCATTGCCACCGCGACCCGGTGATCCGCCTCGTCCACCCCCACGCCCACCACCACGCCCACCCCCACGCCCACCGCCACGCCCACCCCTGCTGCTGCGCGGCTGAGCTACTGCGGCCGTGGAGGTAGAGTGGCGAAGGATCTTGGCTTCGGTGTTGATAATCTACTGAGCGACTTCAGCAGGGGTATGGTGCTTGGAGAGAAGCTGCATGTAGGCAAGCTTGTGAGCGTCGAAGGCAGGTATGAGGCCCTCGAGGAGGTGGCAGCAGATTACAGTGTCAGGTTACACCACATCGAGTGCCGCAAGGCGCCGAGCAAGGTCTAGGACACGGCGAGTGAAGGCAGCGGCGGCAGAAGTGGAGTCCATGGAGAGAGTGCCGAATTCTTTGATGAGGGCGTAGAGGGTGGCAACGTCTTGCCGATCGAAAAGGTCGACGAGGAGTCGCCACAGGTGGGAGGAGGAGGTAGGTGAGAGCTCGCGTTTGAGGGAGGAGGGGACGGTGGGAAGAAGAATGACAAGCGCGCGCCGATCGGCAACTCGCCAGGCAGTGATTTTCGTGGTGTAGTCGGCAAGGTCTGCGGTGTAGGTGTCAAGGTCCTCCTGGTACTTGCTGTAGCGGGCAGCGGCGTTGTCATAAATGCGCTTCTCGTTCTCGTAACGCAGTTGCTGGTGCAGGTGCTCTTGGAGATTGGTGCGGTAGGTGCGGATGGCGGTCTCCGAGCTCTGCGGATCGTTGAGATTCGGTGCAAAGGTGGGAGGATCACCAGGGGGAGAGGGCTCGGCGCCAGGGTGGGTGGGGACAGGTCCAGTGGGAGCGGTGGGGGCCATGGGCTGAAGTCCACCACCTTCCTGGAAGTCAACCGAGCGAAGGTTGTAGCCGCTGATCACAACAGAGGAGAGGAGAACGTCGACCGAGTGAGCGTAGGAGTGCCAATTAGCAGCAGTGTTGTCGGGTAGCAACTCGAGTGCATCAACAGTAGCAAGGTCGACAGAAGAATCCGACGATGCCATAGAGACGAGGGTGGGTGGAAACAAGGGCAGGAGGAGGATGGGGCGAGGGTACTGCTGCTGGTGGCGCTGCTGGTCCTGCTACTGGTGCCGCTGCTGGTCCTGCTGCTGGTGCCGCTGCTGGTCCTGCTGCTGGTGCCGCTGCTGGTCCTGCTGCTGGTGCCGCTGCTGGTCCTGCTGCTGGTGCCGCTGCTGATCCTGCTGCTGGTGCCGCTGCTGGTCCTGCTGCTGGTGCCGCTGCTGGTCCTGCTGCTGGTGCCGCTGCTGATCCTGCTGCTGGTAGGATGGGAGGAGGAAGGGAGGAGCGGAAGGTGGGGGAAGGTGGAGGAGGAGGGGGGAGCGATGTTATGGGGGAGGCAGGGGGGAGGGTGCTGCTGTTGCCGTCGCTGCAGATGCCGCTGATGATGCTGCTGTGGGTAGGGACGAGGAGGGCAGCCCTGTGGCAGATCCGAGCGCGGGAGGAGTGGATCTGGGCGCGAAAAGTGCAGATCTGGTCGCGCAGAATGCAGATCTGGTAACGAAATGTGCAGATCTGGGTGCAGGAGGAGTAGATCTGGGCGCGGGAGGAGTAGATCTGGGCGCGGGAGGGGTAGATCTGGGCGCTGGAGTTGCAGATCTGAGCGCGAGGAGAGCGGATCTGGGCGCTGGGAGGGCAGATCTGGGCGCTGGGAGGGCAGATCTGGGCGCTGGGAGGTCAGATCTGGGTGCTGGGAGGGCAGATCTGGGCGCTGGGAGGTCAGATCTGGGCGCTGGGAGGGCAGATCTGGGCGCTGGGAGGGCAGATCTGGGCGCTGGGAGGTCAGATCTGGGCGCTGGAGTTGCAGATCTGGACGTGCGTGGAGCAGTGCCTTGGAGGGCTACGCCTTATGGGGCGCGCGGGGAGGGATGACATTGCCTAAAGGGCGCGCGAAGAGATGGCAGCTCCGTTCTAGAAGGCTAGATCTGAGGAACGGGGAGGAGAGGGTGGCCTAAGGACCGAGGGATGAAGGCGTGAGCCATTAGCTCATGATACCATGTGAAAGGAGAGAATTGATGAATTGAATAATGAGCCAAGAGGCCCTTTAGTACAAACAATGAGCAAGAGAGAGGTGAGAGGGAAGCTTACCCTATTGGCCAATATGTTGACCAATGGGTGAGCTTGCTTATGGCCCAAACAACCACAAATGTGTGTTAGTTGGGATTGGTTGAGTTAAGGACGAATCCCAACCAACCACAAAATGTGGTTGGAGGGTACACTAAACAACCCCCCAATTTATAAATGTGCTACACATCTAATTCTAGCCTACGTATGTTGTATAAAATAGGAAATTACAACATTATGCCCCATATCCCATACCCCATGCCCCACACCCCATACCCCATACCCCATGCCCCATGCCCCATGCCCCATGCCCCATACCCCATATCCCATACCCCATACCCCATGCCCCATGCCACATGCCCCACATGCCACATGCCCCATACCCCATACCCCATGCCCAAGCCCCATACCCCATACCCCATGCCCTATGCCCCATACCCCATACCCCATGCCCTATGCCCCATACCCCATACCCCATCCCCCATGCGCCATGCGCCATGCCATGCACTGCTCGCCGCATGTCATGATGCATCAGCCTCGCTCTCATTGGACAGCTCCTTCTCCCCGCCTCCCTGCACTTCCCCTTCGTGCTGCTGCGCTTGGTGCACGTGGTGAGGATGGCAGGCGGAGAAGGAAGCAAAGAAGAAGGCAAAGGAGAAGGAGAGGAGGCAGAGGAAGAAGCAGGAGGAGAGAGAGCGCAAGGTGGGGATGGGGAGGGAGGGAATGCTTAGTGGCCTGAATCACAGACTGTCTATGCTGGCTAGATGGTGTGCTGGGCTGTGTTGCTCCTTGTGCTGGGTTGCTCCTTGTGCTGGGTTGCTCCTTGTGCTGGGTTGCTCCTTGTGCTGGGTTGTGGCACATCTGGTGGCATGCGAGGGCCTCATTCATCAAAGCATGTCTTGCAGCACCACCCGCTACTGCTGCTATCAGCCTGCCCCTTGCTTTCATCGCACTGCCCCTTGCTCTCACCGCACTGCCCCTTGCTCTCATCGCACTGCCGCAACCTCCTTAATCAAGACCACAACCATTTTCATGTGAACTCCTCCCTCCCTTATCCCTCATTCCTGTTTCTCTTCCTTCCTCGATCCCCATCCGTGCCCCTCTCTCCCGTCCTTGCAACGCATCTCTGTGTGTGCAACCCTGCCTCGCCCCTCAACTCCCCTCCCGCCAACCCCGTGCCCCGAGCAGCAGCAAGCCCTCCACGAGAGCGCGCCACCAGCGCCATCGCCGACACGCGCATCGCATGCAGAGACAGTAAGGCGCATGCCGCTATGCTGCCCTCCTCTCCCTCTCTGCCTGCTTCCCTTCGCCCTCCATCTGCACCTACACGTGCCTCCACTCACCTGCATGTGCCTCCACTCACCTGCATGTGCCTCCACTCACCTGCATGTGCCTCCACTCACCTGCACGTGCCTCCACTCACCTGCACGTGCCTCCACTCACCTGCATGTGCCTCCACTCACCTGCACGTGCCTCCACTCACCTGCACGTGCCTCCACTCACCTGCACGTGCCTCCACTCACCTGCACGTGCCTCCACTCACCTGCACGTGCCTCCACTCACCTGCACGTGCCTCCACTCACCTGCACGTGCCTCCACTCACCTGCACGTGCCTCCACTCACCTGCACGTGCCTCCACTCACCTGCACGTGCCTCCACTCACCTGCACGTGCCTCCACTCACCTGCACGTGCCTCCACTCACCTGCACGTGCCTCCACTCACCTGCACGTGCCTCCACTCACCTGCACGTGCCTCCACTCACCTGCACATGCCTCCACTCACCTGCACGTGCCTCCACTCACCTGCACGTGCCTCCACTCACCTGCACGTGCCTCCACTCACCTGCACGTGCCTCCACTCACCTGCACGTGCCTCCACTCACCTGCACGTGCCTCCACTCACCTGCACGTGCCTCCACTCACCTGCACGTGCCTCCACTCACCTGCACGTGCCTCCACTCACCTGCACGTGCCTCCACTCACCTGCACGTGCCTCCACTCACCTGCACGTGCCTCCACTCACCTGCACGTGCCTCCAGTCATCCTGTCGCCGCAGCGGCGGAGAGGCGTGTGCAGCAGCTGGCTGGGGGCACCGCTGCGCCTGCCACCGCCCACCATGCCTCCCCCGCCACCACTGCTGCATGCAGCTGCTGCGACTCGTGTGGAGCATCGCTGGCGGGCAGGACGCCCTTCTCCCGCCTCGCCTACAAGTACTGCACCACTGCATGCGTGCGCGCTCACAAGTCCATCCTTGACACCCTGTAGCTTCTGTCTTCCTCTGCGGGTCTAGATCCCATGCTGTGCACAACAAGATGCATGGTCTATCGCTGTAAAAAATGTGGTACAGCATATTACCATTACACAACATGAAAACGGGTCTAGTACCGTGTAACTGCATGCTTTCCCCTACATGCTTTCCTCAGGGAAAAACCGTGGAATGGAAACCGTTGCTTGTGCTTCAGGGGCTGCATACACCGCACGCGGCAGTACCACCAGTCATTGTGAGAAACACAACCAGCCAGGCCGTAAAGGAATGCACAATACGGTAGTGGCAAGCAAGTAGCGTCAGGACTGTGGCAAGAAGCTTATTTGTTCAGTGGTGGAGAAACACACAATGCTGCACACACTGCAGCCCTTGACCAACACAGATGGCAATAGCAACCCACCCACCAATGTGCTACACCAGCTATTATGCATACGATAGTACATGCCAGGTCACTTCTTGATGGGTTGAACCGCAAGCACCGTTCTCACAGAGTGCCCTTGACCGTCGGCCCATGTTAGGCTTCCAAACTGGAAGCTCTCACACGTGTTCATCACTTTGAACGTCACCATCAAGGTTACCCTTTTACCCGGAGCAATTGTAAATTTGTTGGGTGAAACTTTGATGGAGACTCCACTAAGAGGCTCGATGCTAGCTGTATATGTGGAGGAGGAGTCAGCAACGTTTGTGACCGTCCTGTTTGCTGTCGCCGTCCCTTTCAGTCGGGGGATTGAGATGCTTGGACGGTTCAACTCACGAGGACCAACCGCCGTAAGCCTAGCTCTTGGAAAGTGCTTCTTTGCTTGCTTCATACTCTGCCCAGCTAGAAAGTTTCGATAAGCAGCTGCACGGGCGTCGTATGTGAGCCCGGGATCCAGCAGCTTGGGTGGGAACACATGGCCTGACCCCATCTCCCACGGAGTAGCAGCCTCTCCATAGCCATTATCGATGGCAGCACCGCTGGTGTCTGTAGTCTTGGCGGTGGTCATAATGGCCGACATGACCTGCGCGGGGCTCCACGAGGGGTGCTTCTGCATGATGAGAGCAGCAATGCCCGCCAAGTGAGGCGTTGACATCGACGTCCCTGACAGCTGCGAGTAGCTCCCTGGCTTCCCCACCTTCTCAGCCGGCCACGCAGCGTACAGATCCACGCCCGGGCCGACAATGTCGGGCTTTAAGATACTGTTGGTGGGGAACGTGGCGGTGGCGTCCGAGGAAGGGTCCCTGAGGGGTCCGGTGGAGGAGAAATCGGCAACGGCAGGGTAGGCTGTGGCTGCACGGGTGGCTGAGACAGATGATGAGTTGCTGCGAGCTGCACGTGGCGGTGCAGCGGCCTTGAGGGTTATACCGCCTCGCCCAATGGTGCTGCAGGGAGGTCGAGGGAGGTGGGAGGAGGGGAAGCAAGGGAAGAGAAAGAGGATACGGGGGAGAGAAAAGGAAAAGCCCAGGGGAAGGAGAGGGGAATTTTCCTGGTGGACGACTGGGGCAAGCAGGAGTGGTGGCAAGGGATGTTGAGCAGGGAGGGTAGAGAAGCTGCCCACTTGGCACACCAGGAGCAAACCTTCTGCTCGTCCGCTGATAAGGTGGAAAGGTTGAAGGATGGGAGAGGGAGGCTCACCTTGCCCCCACTGTGAGGTAGAACGGGGAGAAGTTGTCTATCGTGCGGTAACCGCTTGGGTCATAGCCCGGAGCGCCACCGTTGCCCGCTGCGAAGGCCACAAGCACCCCCGCCAGATTAGCAGCGAGGTACGGCATGTGGGTGAAGTAGGTCTGTGTGGCATCCACGCCGCCCAGCGAGAGCGAGATGACATCCACTCCGTCCGCCACGGCCTGGTTGACTGCCGCCTCCATGTCCGCCTGCACGCCAAAGAAGGCGCCCTCCGCGTACCACAGCACCTTGTATGCTGCCACGCGCGCTGCTGGCGCCATGCCGCTCGCCCTGCCGCCCGCCATGGGCACTTCCTTGTTGCCCGCTTCTGCCCTGCAGAGGAGAAAGGAGGCGGGGAGAAAGTGGTGGGGGGTGGGGATGGGGGGGTTAATTGGGAGGAGAAACTGAGTCTCATAAGCAGCTCACAAGATTCTCACACGCACCCTGCACACCACGTACCCTGCACACGACGCACCCTGCACACCACGCACCCTGCACACCACGTGCCCTGCACACCACGTACCCTGCACACCACGTACCCTGCACACCACGTGCCGTGGCCGTACGAATCGCGAGGCGACAGCCAGTCATTCGACAGGTCCGGCCCACCGGTGTCCTCCTTAAAGCCCTTGTAAAACCCCCGCGCGCCAATGAGCTTATTGTTGCACTTGAACTCGCTCGTCGCATCGCACTTGCCCGACCAGCCAGCGGGGCGCGAGGAGGGGAAGGCGGCATCGGTGAAGGAGGGGTGTTCCGGCCAGATGCCCGAGTCCACCACTCCCACCACCATCCCCTCGCCCGCCTTTTCCTGCCCGCCATTCGCGGGCCACAGCGACCCGGGTGGGCGAGTCGATGGTGAGGGGCGTGACTCTGCGGCTGCGCGTCACTGCCGCCACTGCCGGGTGCCGCTGCAGCCGCCGCACCTGCTGCGAGGAGAGGGTTGCTGCGAAGCCGTTGCTCGCGTGCATGTAGCTGGGGGAGGGGGAAGAGTGGGGGTGTAGGGGGGTAAGGGGAATGGATGGATCCATCGAGGGGGAGGGGTGGGAGGGTTGGGTACGGTATGAGGGGGACAAGTTTGAGAATGGATTGATGTAGGTTTCCGGAGCCACCTTGACTTTGTCCCCTTGATGGGGAGCCATGTAACAAAGGCTTCCAAACCCTAATTTTCGTGGCGCTGCTAGTTCAGGCACTGTGACGGTATCACCCCACGTACTTGTAAACGATGCGGTCTGACGTCACGCCCACGTCAGACGCGATTCGCGTCTGCTGCGTCTCGAGCATCTGCGCGTACGCCTTGAGCTGCGGGTTCTCCATGCTCAGCCGCGCGCGCCGCGGAATGCTGCCGGCCAGCGTCGACGCCTCGTGCGCAACCGTCTCCGCTGTCGCACGCAGACCTGACGGACCGGCAAAATCGTCGTCGTCGTCGTCCACCCATCCCCGGAAGCTCGCTATTCCACCGCGATACGCGGCTAGGGGAAGGGCGGAGCGAAGGCGCACGATATAGAGTGACGTGGACTTGGGGGTTGGCGCTGCGGTCGGCGGCGCAGCAAAAGAGGTGTCAGAAGCCCGGGAAGGAGGGGAGAAGGATGAGATGAAGCGAGAAAGGAACGAGGTGGTGGGGCGAAGATGACTGCCTCGAGAGATTACTATTGCGACCAGTCGAATCGGATATAGCGTCAAGGAATCGATTTAAGCAAGGTTGGCATGATGTGGCTTACTACGGTGAGCTTGAATGGCGAGGCATTGACGCGCGAATGAAAGGAGAAGCGCGAGGTCGAGGAGGAATCTGCCTTTGCCCATCATGGCGGATCAAGTGGGAATGCGGGCGTGAAGCTCGAGGCTTGGGAGAGGCGGAGCCGCTGCTAGTGCTTTGACGGGGTGCTTACTAGTTTCAAATCTGCAAGCACTAGGTACAAAAATGATGCCTTCGAGGTTGTAGGTGGGAGGTGAGGAAAGGCGGGGCGAGGCAGGCCACAATGACCCCAACCCCACAGCACACGAGTGTGATGAGTGATGTACTCCAGGCGCAGCGATGAAATGTCGAGAGTAGCCGAGCCGCGCCGTCGTTTTCAATCGCAAAATCTGGGCGCGTAACATTTGACTGGGACGAATCCGCGTGGTTACCCTCAATATTGTCCACTGAGCTTCGCAAGCCGGCGTGGCGAGGCGCGTCTGTGTTGGAACAAGGTTGACCTGGATGCCCTGCAACGCGTTTTCCTCGTCCTGCCGAGCAACTACAATGCTGAGAATTTCATAACTGTACTTACACTTGTGTAATTACCTCCACTGCAAAACGCTTCTATCTATAAAAGTATTTCTCAAGCATCCTACTTAAAGAGCAGCATGGATGTGACTCTAATATTTTCGTTGAACAAGACATCTCTCAACACGTGCTTGCGCGCCCCTGCATTACGCTAGGAATTACAAGAGCGACAGAGCAACACTGATGCTATGCTAGCAGTGGGTGAGAGGGTCAGAGGCTGCGGTAATCAATGACGGTGACCTCGTCATCCGGTGCATCCAAGTCGCGATAGCTGCACACACAGGGGGGGTGATGGGAGTAGAGAACACACCTGAGACATGGATGGTGGCAGCAGAGACATGGATGGTGGCAGCAGAGACATGGGTGGTGGCAGCAGAGAGATGGGCATGGCATGGTTCAACCATCCTATCATTTTCCATGCCAGCACCACCATACCTGCATGCAAACATGCCAACATACCTGCGCATACCACCATACCTGCGCATGCCACCATACCTGCACATGCCACCATACCTGCGCATGCCACCGTACCTGCGCATGCCACCATACCTGCGCATGCCACCATACCTGTGCATGCCACCATACCTGCGCATGCCACCATACCTGCGCATGCCACAATACCTGCGCATGCCACCATACCTGTGCATGCCACCATACCTGCGCATGCCACCATACCTGCGCATGCCACCATACCTGCGCATGCCGCGGGGGTCATGAGGAGGCCCGCCCATCATGGGCATCATTCCCATCGGCCCCATGCCCATCCCCATCCCCATCCCTCCCATGCCCATGCCCACGCCTCTCATCCCCATGCCCATCCCCCCAAACCTCCCCGGGCTGCCATACGGGCCCTCCCGTCCCCCTCTTGCCCTCCCCCCTCCCCCGTCCCTCCCTCCTGTCCCTGCTCTCCCCCGTGCTGCCTCCCCTCGTGCCCCTCCCCCGCCCCCTGACGGGGGAGGTGGGGAGCGCCCTTCCTCTCCGCCAGGAGCAGGGCCGGGCGCAGAGGCGGGGGGGAGGGGGGCATCAGGGGGCAGGTCCAGAGGTGGCCCGTCGAAAGGCGGCAGGGGCGGTGGGCCGTCAAAGCCATCAAAGAGGGAGGGCGGCGGGCGGAAGGAGGGGTCCCTCAGTATGCGCGCCGCCAGGTCTGGCGGGGCCGGCAGGAACGGTCCCAGCGGGCTGCAGGGCAGGGGTAGAGGGGCGGGCAGTTGAGGGAGAGGGGGCAGGGGGAATGAGGAGAGGGAAAAGGGTGAAAACGGAAGGAGGATATGACAGAGAGGAAGGGCGAGGTGAGCAGAAAGAAGAGGTTGGTGATAGCATTACTGCAGTGTGAGTGTGCTGTTGCTACAGCCCCTTCAACACACAACCACCTTTGCTGGACCCAACCACTCCCACCCCTCTCCACCACCCACCCACAAACTGCCTGGCCCCTCCACACTATTCCCTTCGTCCCCCAACCCCTTCGTCCCCCACCCCCTTCATCCCCCACCCCCTGTGCACCTCGCTCTCCACCCCACCACCCTCCCAACGCCACTCACCCAGCACCGGGCACGGGGATGAGCACGGGCGGCAGCGGCCCACCAAACGGCCCTCCTGGGCCGCCCGGCGGGCCTCGTCCCATGTGCGGCGGCATGGGCGGCCCAAAGGGCGGCAGCGGGGGCGGCGGGCCGTCAAAGACGTCAAACACAGGCGGCCCATCCAGAGGCCCGCCCGGGCCGCCCATGAGCATGGGCGGGGGGGGTCCCTCCATGGGCGGCCCTCTCTCCTCAAACATCCCCCCGCCTCCCCCCGGTCCCATGAACTCCCCTCCCCCGCCCCCATCAAACCTCTCCATCCTCTCTGGCCCCTCCTCCCGCCCCCTCCTCTCGTACCTCTCCCCCTCGCCCCCCCGCCCAATGCCCCCACGACGGTCAAACACATCCCCCTCGTACCGCCCCCCACTCTCCCCTGGAAAGGGCTCCCCAGCATCGAGGGGGGGGGCGCCCATGGGGGGAGGGGGGCCGCCAGCAGGGCGGTCGAAGGGCGGGGGGCGGTCAAAGCGGTCGGGAGGGAAGGCAAAGGGGTCGGCGGGCGGGGGCAGTCGCACACCCAGACGGGCCGACATGGGCACCGGCGAGTGCCCGTGCCCTCCCCTCTCCCGCTCCCTCTCCCGCTCCCTGTCTCTCTCCCTGTCCTCCCTTCCCCTGACAGGGGCGTTGGGGTCGCTGCATGGTGGGAGTGAGGGGAGGACGGACGGGATGAAGGAAGAGGGAATGATGGGAGAGGCCACGTGGAGGGGAATGGGCAGCAGCAGGCGGTATGGCGAGGCAAGACAGCCACACGCTCCTGTTCTAGTGCACTCACATGTCATTCAGCGAATAACCCTCAAATGACACTCACACATCCCACACACTCCCATCCTGCACCATCTTTCATCCCACCATCCCCTCACCGCCACCCCCCTAGCGCATGGCATGTGGTTCGCACCGCATGTGGTGCTCACCGCATGTAGTTCTCTTCATACACCTCCTCCTTCACGCGGTTGGTCTGCTCCGCCACCTGCTCGGGGTGTTTCAGCTTGAGGTGCTTGATCACGAACTCGGGCCCGTGGAACAGCTTGGAGCACGCGGGGGCAGAGCACCCATACTTCCACCCATACTTGTCGTCCTTGATCTTCCTCACCATGCCCTCCATCGCGCCCCCCATGCGTGCCTCCACGCGCGCCTTGCCTACCAGCGCCACCACCGGGTCCTCCCCCTCCGCCCCCACGCGCAACCTCCACTTCTCATCCACCTGCCGCGCCCACGCCTCGTACCCCTCCGCGCCCTCCCCTCCCGCGCCCTCGCGCTTGCTCTCCTCGCCCTCATCCGCGCGCACGTGCCTCAGCCCCTTGGGCAGCCCTCGCAGCTCCGTCCCGCCGTAGTAGTCGGCGCCGTGCACACGCCACAGGTACGTCAACACGGCGTCCAGCAGCGCCACGCCCGCCAGCCACCGCGCCTCCCCGCCGCCCTCCCCCGGAGGCACGCGGATCTTCATTGCCTCGTCCTCGGCGCCCGCCTGGTTCTCCCCCAGCAGGAAGTTGCCCCCCTCCGCGCCCCACAGCCCCTTCTCCGCGTCCAGCTTGGCCACCAGCGCCAGCGCCCTCTCCAGATCATGTGCCACGCGCGCCGCCTGCCCTGCAGCAGCGGGGATGCGTGGAGCAGAGGCGGCGGCGGTGGCGGCGTCGTGTGTGAGGGAGGGGCGGAAGGAGGCGCTGCGCCGCCTCGCGTCCGTGGCTGCTAGCGGGTCACGCGGGTCCGCGTAGGGGCCGCTGGTGGGTGAGGGAGAGGGGTGGTTTGGAGCCGGGGAGGGAGAGCGTGAGGGGCGGAGAGGGAAGGCAGGGCATGGGGTCGGGTGAGGTGACGGCATGAGACGGGAGAAACGAGGCGAGAAGGAAGTGGAGCAATGAGGGCGGGAGGGAAGGAGTGCAACAAGAAGAAAAGGCACGAGCAGCAGGGAAAGAGGGAGAGCAAGAGAGCGTGAAAAGGTGTGCGAGGGAGTGAGCAGAGAGGTGATGAGGCAGTGAGTGAGGGGATGCGGTACTGACAGGTCTGCGTCGCCGCGCTGCAGGCTTTCAAGGAACTGCTTGCTCTCCAGCTGCGCACACTCTATGCGCCTATGGCCGGGGCACAGCACACCCACCCATGCACAGCACACATGCATGCACACACACACGTGCACATACACACGTGCACACACACACATGCACACACACATGCACACACACACATGCACACACACACATGCACACACACACATGCACACACACACATGCACACACACACATGCACACACACACATGCACACACATACATGCACCACACGGGCAGAGGGGTTGGGTGGGAGTGAGGGACGGCATGCCCAGGAGGAAGAGTACAGGGGAAAGGGGAGCGGGGAAAAGGGCGGGGGGAAAGGGGAGCGGGGAAAAGGGCGGGGGGAAAGGGGAAACGGAGGCAGTGGGCAGAACGAGAGAGAGCTGGCAATGGGCAGGGCTCATAGGCGAATTGAACGGATAGAACAACGCTGCTACAGCGCTGCTGCAGTGCTGCAGCATGCATGGCAAGAGCGAGCAGGCCTGACCTGACGAGGCAGCGCAGTGGGCTCACCTGTCCACAAGGCAGCGCAGTGGGCTCACCTGTCCACAAGGCAGCGCAGTGGGCTCACCTGTCCACAAGGCAGCGCAGTGGGCTCACCTGTCCACAAGGCAGCGCAGTGGGCTCACCTGTCCACAAGGCAGCGCAGTGGGCTCACCTGTCCACAAGGCTCTCAAGGCGAGCTGGGTCGTAGAGCGCTCGCAGCCTGGCCAGCGAGCACGCCGCACCACGCACAGGGAAGAGGGAGGGGGGGAGTGGGGTGGTGAAAGGCAGAGGTAAGTCAGGGTTGTGATCAGAATACCCCACCTTCCCAGCCATAGCCATCATGCCATCTCATCCCCCGTTCGAACGAATTTCCCACCTTCCCAGCCATTTCGCCACTCCTTCCCATCCTTTCCTCATTGTCCCCGCCGCCACAACCACCCTCCACCCCTTTCCCCCCAACAAAAAACCCGTTACCACAGAGTAATATGTTGTTTGAGCCCAAAAGAGGCAAAAACTAGCGTGCTGTCTCTACGTTAAGATAACCCTAGAAACGTTACGCTCAAGTGAGATGAGGTGAGGTGAGGTGAGGTGAGGTGCGGTGAGGTGCGGTGAGGACTGACCACTCCTCGTTCCTGTGGTCGTGAAAGAACGCCTTCTTCTGTGCCGCCACGAACTTGGTCTTGTAGTCCAGATACCTGGAGAGAGGGGGGACGGAGAGGGTGAGGCGGGAAAGCGGGAGAGGTGGAAAAGGGAGAGACGAATGAGCAGTGGAGCACATGAGAGGCCAACCGAGGGCAGCAGCGGCAGAGGGCAGAGGGCAGAGAAGGAAGAGCCAATGTGCGCACCTCTTCTCGGCGTCAGCAGGTGACACGTCATCGTCCAGGTCAGCAATGAACTGCTTGTAGGTCAGCGGCCCGTCAGCTGGCGGTGGCCTGCTGTCACAAGAGGGGGCACACGGGGGGCACATGGGGGCACATGGGGGCACACGGAGGCACACGGGGGCACATGGGGGCACACGGGGGCACATGGGGGCACATGGGGGCACACGGAGGCACACGGGGGCACATGGGGGCACACGGGGGCACATGGGGGCACACGGGGGCACATGGGGGCACATGGGGGCACATGGAGGCACACGGGGGCATGGCGATGTGTGGGGAGAGGTGGCCGTGAGAGCACGGGGCAACGGGAGGGGAGGGCAGAGCAGAGCAGGGAGCAGCGACGCAACGGGGAGTGGGTGGTGATGGTGAGTGCGGAGCATGGAGGGGAGGGGAGTGATGGGACGTTGCCGCCATGTGGGGATGAAGCAAGGAAGCTGTGCCTGCCAGGACAGCGTGGGGAGCACCCACACCCACTCCATCGCCACACATCCACCCCTCCACTCCACCCCTCCGCCTACAACCACCACCCATCCACCCACCCAACCAACCCCTCGCCCTTCACCTCACCACGCCACCACGTCACCTGCGGGGAGGCCCGTCGCCGGGTGGGTAGTGTGGCGGGTACATAGTCGGAGGCGGGGGACCGCCGCCACCTGACAGCATGTCATAGGCTGATGGCCGCCTGTAGCGATCCGCGCCTGGTGGGGCAGTGGCGAGCAGAGGGGCGCGGAGGGGACGGGAGGGGGGCAAGTGAGCGGGGAACGGGGGGCGACGGAGTTCCAGGCAGGGGGTATGGCAGGGGATGGGGCGGGTGGTGGGGCGGGCGGGTGGCGTACCTCCATTCCCGTACCTCCACTCCCGTACCTGCACTCCCGTACCTCCACTCCCGTACCTCCACTCCCGTACCTCCACTCCCGTACGTCCACTCCCGTACCTCCACTCCCGTACCTCCACTCCCTTACCTGCACTCCCGTACCTCCACTCCCGTACCTCCACTCCCGTACCTGCACTCCCGTACCTCCACTCCCGTACGTCCACTCCCGTACGTCCACTCCCGTACCTCCACTCCCGTACCTCCACTCCCGTACGTCCACTCCCGTACCTGCACTCCCGTACCTCCACTCCCGTACCTCCACTCCCGTACCTGCACTCCCGTACCTCCACTCCCGTACGTCCACTCCCGTACCTCCACTCCCGTACCTCCACTCCCGTGCCTGCACTCCCGTACCTCCACTCCCGTGCCTGCACTCCCGTACCTGCACTCCCGTACCTCCACTCCCGTACCTCCACTCCCGTACCTCCACTCCCGTACCTCCACTCCCGTACCTCCACTCCCGTACCTCCACTCCCGTACCTCCGTTCCCGTACCTCCACTCCCGTACCTCCACTCCCGTACCTGCACTCCCGTACCTCCACTCCCGTACGTCCACTCCCGTACCTCCACTCCCGTACCTCCACTCCCGTACCTCCACTCCCGTACCTCCACTCCCGTACCTCCACTCCCGTACCTCCTCTCCCGTACCTCCACTCCCGTACCTCCACTCCCGTACCTCCACTCCCGTACCTCCACTCCCGTACCTCCACTCCCGTACCTCCACTCCCGTACCTCCACTCCCGTACCTCCACTCCCGTACCTCCACTCCCGTATGACTACGTACCCGGCGGTGGCCCCGGTGGGCCGGGCAGGCGAGCATAGAGATCGTCGGGGGCGAAGGGCGGCATGGCGCGCGGCGCATCGTAGGGGTGCCTGCGGTGGCACGGGCAGGGCGGGAGACGAAGCGAGAGAAGAGGCGGCGAAAAGGGTGAGCACGGGAGGACGCGAGCGACTAAAGGCGGCGACGATGATTGCAGGGAGAAGCAGATGAGAGTGGCGCAGGACGCGCGTGAAAGGGGACGCGCATGTGTTTCCAGTCCACACATGCGCAGCAGCGCGGGGAGATGCGCGGCAGTGAGGGGAGATGCGCGGCAGTGAGGGGAGATGCGCAGAAGTGAAAGGAGATGCGCGATGCGCGCGCGGAAGTGAAGGGAGACGCGTGGAATTGAAGGAAATGCGCGGCAGTGAGGGGACATGCGAGGAAGTGAGGGGAGAGCGGAGAAGATGCAAGGGAGGAGGGCAATGGGAATGCCTCAGAGGAATCGACTTGCCTCCAGCAGACGAGTCGCCGCCACCGGTACCACCGGCACTACCACCAGCAGCGCCGCGTTGCCACACTCGCTGGGTGCGAAGGGTGCCACTTGCAGCACAGGGCAGTGCGCTACTTTTACTCTGCTCGCTACTCCTACTCCTACAGCACGAGACTTGATGGGCGCGCTTACACTACGATGCTCTGTCTACGCTACTCGTAATCAACAGCAAGAAACTTTACAGGCGCGGTGCCAGACGGAAGCGATTTGATCGGCTGAGAGGCGAGTGGGACGGGCGACGTGAAATTGACGGGCGAGAGGCGAGAAGAGTATCTGGAAGACGGCGAAAGCTCCATAGACTGAGAACTACGAAAACTGGAGGAAGAACGAGACATAGCGCAGAGCTTCGTAGAGGGGATTCATGCTCCTGCGCCGGCCGGCACGCGAAGCGTCTCGCAGCGGAGCCCTGCAAGAAGCGTGAGAAGCGCTCGAGCGCTTCCGATGACCCCCTCTTCACACACCGACCTCCCCCGCGCGCGACGATTCAGAAGCTAAGCGATATAGAAAACCGGATGGCAATGAGCAGCGGGTGAAGCAAGACGCAGCGCGGGTCAGAGCGCTGCGGCGGCGGTGCGACTGGCGGTTCTCTCAGCTTGAAAAGGGAAACCAAAAAAGGAATCACACAATTGCACGACGGGGGCAGGGAGACTAACCTTTTCCCCGGGGAGCCGTATCGCGGCGAGGGCCGCCGCGGACTCGCGCTCCGCCGCCTCTTGTAGTCGCGCTCGCGCTCCCTCTCGCGCTCCCGATCCCTTTCCCTCTCCCGGTCTCTATCTCTATCCCTGTCCCTCTCCCTATCCCTATCTCTGTCCCTGTCTCTGTCTCTGTCTCTGTCCCGATCGCGATCCCTCCCGCGCTCCTCGTGGCGACGGTCGTGCGAATCGCTGCGGCGACGGTCGCGGTCGTCGCCTCGCCCGCCTCGGTCGTCCCTCGGGCGCGACGAGCTCCTCTCTCGCGACCGATCCCGATCGCGCTTCCGATCCGACGACCCCGCTCGCCGCTCCGCATCGGGTGGTGGGGAAGTTCCGGACGCCATTACAACACAGTGAGAGCCAAAAAAGGAGGAAAGGAGTAGTGAACAGTGGCAAGAATGATGATGTGATGTGATGGATGGTGGAATGAACGGGTGAGCACGAGAAGGGTTTGGTTGGAAACCTGAGTAGCTGGTAACTTGAAAATGTTACAGGTTTGAAAAAGTGTTATGAGCTGTGAATGAAAGAGTGTGCTAAAGTCAATATCGAAGATGTAAGGAATTGTAATTCCTTACTGTACTCGCACTTTAGCGAGTACAGCCCGAGGGCCACGTGTCGGTTCGGTTCGGCCTATTTTTTCGCCCCAAACCACTCCCGAGTCGCCCCCAATCTAATCGCAACATTTTCCGAGCCATCCTTGCCCGACCCCACCGCCTAGCTAGAAATCCCACTGTAAAATCCCATCACTTTCATTGCATTGTTTGTGAGACCTTGTAATCACATTCTCAATATTGTTTTTATTGGGCACTCTGTAAGTTCATTCCTAACACATGGTACCCCGCTTTTTAAATGTATTACCGTATCACCACGGATATAAGCGCAGGTGCGCTTATAATAAAACAATGTTTTTTAGGGGGGTGCGCTAATAATTGAGTCAATTTTATAAGCGCATGTGCTTATTGAATGAAAAAAATATAAATTTACAAATTTCTAAAACCAAACGGTAGATCTCGTGCCTGCCATTTCAATCAAGTCGAATTTACATGAGCTCGTGAGTGAAAATTTCGTGTGCGCTGGCAAAAACATTCCATTTGACTCATAGGGCGCCCCTAAGAACTGATGCTGATTGGACTCGCAGCCTGTGCAGGGTTTGAACTCGACAGAACTGAATTTGAAAAGTATCAGCCTGCTAAAGTTAAAATTGTGTCAGTATTTTGACACATTTTCAATTTTAAAAATAGCATGCGCTTATAATAAATCAAGGTTCTACAGGGGGTGCGCTTATAATTCAGGATCAACCATAAGCGCATTGCTCCAGCTATAAGCGCATGCACTTAACATAGACCTGCGCTTATATCCGGGGTGATACGGTACCTCTCAGGGGGAGACAAGGAAGGATGCCTTGGGGTCCAGGTGTCAAACTAACGAACGAGAATGAATGAACTATGAAACAGTTGGGCACAAGTACTAACCCTAATTGGGTTGTACCCCTTGTGGGCTACCCCACTATAGCCTACACAATGTAAGCAATAAAACATTCTGACACACCCCCATAGGCAAAGTGGGGGAGAACAAGCGGTCACAAGACCAGTCAAGAAAAGCAAAGCAAGCTCAGGGTGGATCACAAAGTCACCACACAGTCTGAGCACAAGCAAAGGGCCACAAGGCCAGTTCACATGTAGAGTTATATAAAGAGCACAAACAGTACAGTGATCATAGCCTAGCAAGAGTAAGCATGCAGGTATATACATAGATCAAAGTACAAGCAAAGTCACGCAGTGAGCAAATGAGGCAAAGTAGGCACAAGGCCTAACACAGTAGAGAAGCGCTGATGATCACCAGGCGGAAGTGCCTTGGTGAATATATCAGAAGTGTTTTCCCTAGTGGCCACATACGCAAGACGAAGCTGGCCACGCTGCTGCAACTCTCGAGCAAGGAAGTATCGCAGAGCGATGTGCTTCGTTCTGTGCTCCAGTCTGTGCTCCTGACACAAGGCAATCATGGCCTTGTTGTCTACGTACAAAACTGGAGGTGAACAAGACTGCTCTCCCAAGTCAGTCAGCAGGTTGGTGAGCCAGCGTAGCTCCTGTGCAGCCATGGCCGCTGCGTAGATCTCAGCCTCACAACTGGAGCGGAGAACCGAAGACGAGCGGGTAGACCGCCAGGAAACAGAGCCGGAACCGAGGCTGAAGGTGTAACCTTGTGACGACCGCTGCGTAGCTGAGTCGTCAACCCAAGAAGTGTCTGCGTGTCCAGTGAGGTCAGATGGACCCCGTCCTCCAAGCACGAGCCCCATGCTTGACGTACTGCACAAGTAATGCAGTACCCTCTTCGCAGCATCCCAGTGCACCTTTCGGTGCCTACCGGGAGCCACGTAGCGAGCCAGGAGGCTGAGAGGGTACGCGAGGTCAGGTCGTGTGCACATCATCAGGTACATGAGGCAACCCACAAGCTCTGGGTACGGACCACTCGGCTCTACGGACTCGTCCGAAGGTGGAGCTGAGAGCGAGTGGCTGGTAGACAGAGGAGTTGGGTGTGGCGAGGAGAACTGGAAGCCGAAGCGCTGAAGGACCTGGTGCACCATGTGTGACTGAGTCAGAGTGATGGTGCGCCGTGCTCTGTTCCGGGTGATCTGCAAGCCAAGATAGCTGCGCAGCTCACCCAGGTCAGTGCAGGTGTGTCTCTTCTGCAGCTCCGACTTCTCAAGGGTCAGTGCCTTAGTTTCAGCAGTGGCAAAGACGAGGTCGTCGACGTACATGAGGACGTAGAACGGCGACAGCGACGTGTCGGTGCATAGAAACAGCGACGGATCAGCAGTAGAAGGAGTAAACCCCAGAGCCGCAAGTGTAGTCCTCAGTGTATCGTGCCACTCGCGAGGAGCCTGGTGGAGACCGTAGACTGGCTGGCGAAGGCTCCACTGGATCTCTGCAGGAAACGACACAGTGAAGCCTGGTGTGCGGCGCAGCCAGATCTCCTCATGCAGACTGCCCTGCAAGAAAGCTGTACTGAAGTCCAGAGAGTGTAACTCGTAGTCAAGCTGAGCAGCGACGTGCAGCAGCACCCGAAGAGTAGTCATCTTCTGGGTGGGGGAGAAGGTCTGGAAGTAGTCGACCCCCTGTTGCTGACTGAAGCCTCTAGCAACGTAACGCGCCTTGAAGGCAGGCGGAGAACCCGGCAGCCGCTTCACCCTGAAAATCCACATGCCATCGACTATGTTCGCCCTAGACGGGGGAACTGCATCGACGTAGGTGCCTGTGGACTTCCAGGATGCCATCTCGGCATCCATGGCTGCCTGCCACTGAGAGGAGTAAGGACCCGTAATCGCCTCTGCGTAAGAGCGCGGGGTCGGGATGTCTGGTGCATCCGGGTCTCCCTCAAGGGCAAGCAGCATGGAAGCGAAACGAGGTACAGAAGCTGCAAGACCCGAAGGTCCTCCTGCCTGTCCTCAAGGACGTCCGTGCCAAGAGCACACTCACCCCCGATGGTCGGAGGACAGGCAGAATCAGACTCAGCAACAAGAGCAGTGGCGTAGTTTAGACGACAGGGAGCAGCAAAGTCAACTAGCTCAGCAACGAGGGCAGACGCAGCAGTGGACTCAATAGAAGGGTTAGTGACAACAGTGGTGAGGAGAAGAGAGACAGTGGGACTAGCAGCATGAGCGCGGTCAGAGTCAGGGTCAGGGATGGCAGGAAGAGAGGACTCAGGAGGAGGTGGCAGAGGAACACGCAGTGGAATAGAGGAAGGACGAAGTGCCATAGCGTGTGTGCCGGGGACAAGAGGAGGACATGGACGAGGAACGCGACGACCAGTGCAAATTGGGGAGGCAGGACGAGACGCAGGCTCACGACGCTCTGTAAGACTGCTAGTCTGC